TAACTATGTGAAGGTACGTTGATCCCTTTGGACTACCTGGAAGGAAAAATGCACCTTTTCTTCAAATCACTTAAATAAATAAGCACATTGAGAACTAATCAAAAAAAATTGACAACTATTGTAGGACAAACGGTGTGATACTAATTATTATTCAGTGATCGATTAGGACAGGCATTTCAATTCTACAGGTCATTTGCATCCTGGATAGTTGAGTAGTGACATCATTAACAGTAATAATTAATGACGCGGATCGAAGTCTCGCAAAGAACATAAATCCCTCTAATCTTACAGATAAGTCTTGCTGACAAGTGCCAAACGGAGCTTCCTATTATTTACCTTCAACCACTTAACATTTGTTGGGAATTTTTATTGCTTCCCAATAGTTCTTTTAGGCGCGAAATGCCACTAGATAATTTAATTATTTAAATCGTATAAAACCAATCATTTAGTCGTAGGGTTTTTAGAGACAATTATGATTTCTAAATGACTCTCATCTCAGATTAAACTTCATTGAGTAACCACTAAAACCCTATTGGCATTGGTTATTTATCACTTTCTGTTGTAGAATACCTCATTAAAATCCATCCATTACATCATTAGGGATTAAATCATGTCTCTTCAAGTATATCAGCGACTGTGTTACGTTAAAACTTATTAGTTAGAATTTGTTCTGATAGATTTTCTCATGAGTGATTCAGTCCAACCATATTGTAAATGAAGTTGTCATGTACAATGATATTAGATGATCATTGTGCTATATATCATGAAGTGATTGAAGTTGAAAATATGAAACAATATTCATGTACACACATAAAATGTATTAGATCCGTTACTTTATTATGGTTATATTTTGTCACTACATAATGTTTGCTAAAATGTGTTTCTATTTCTTCTTAACGGTTTAAAAGAATTCTAATACACTGAGCCAATCATCAGAGATAGACTAAATAATTAGTGGATGCTATCGGTAAAGATTTAACCTTCATTAAGGAGATTGTGGATTTTAACATTAATTATATGAATCTATTCAATTTATTAGTCATTATATTAACATTGTTGTACAAAACAATTATATAGAGAAATCAGTGAAATAGTATGAATATAAAAGGGTTGACTGAAAAGCACCTAATACTCGGTAAGTTAATTTATCGTGTTTTGACGAATGATAAGAAACTATTAATAACGGAGTCTACTCTCCCTCTCGAAATGCTCTCACATGGTCACGTGTATATAGGCTCTGCCAGGGAAGTCCTATTCATTGCCTTCTCGCAGTGAAGGAGTTGTTTACGAAATTCAGAGGACGAAAAGCGAATGTCCGGTGCTTTCACCGGGTTGGTGGACATGGTGAGCCCACCTAGGGGAGTTGGAAAAACCTGATTCAAAACCAATGGTGTATATGGGCTCCAGTATCCCAAAGGAACAAATGGCGTATGAACCAATCGTTGGTCACCGGCCACCATGGGACTGCATCTCAATACCATGCCCCACTACCTTGAAAATCAGACGTTCAGGTCGAAGGCTCCGGGTGTGGCCCCCTAAGAAAACCACCTGATTCGGTTTGGGCACCCGGGTAGTATCACAGCCCTCACACATATCAAATGAGACTTGTGTGGCGCATATGTATTCGGTTCCTCCTTGTACCAATATCTGTGTTAAAATAAATAATAAATAAACGGTGCCACTATATCCCAGAAAGTCTAACGGAATCTGTGCTCTCAACACTTAAGCAGAAACTTGAACATACAAGTTTTGATTAGTTAAAAGCGTCTTCCAGTCACTGAGCCTCAATTTTGTGGTTTAGCCAATTTCTTTCTTTTTTTTAATTTTCTTAAGATGAACGAAAGATATACTTTGGGATTATTATTGTACATTCAAAATAAACAGCATAAGAAGTTGATCATCCGAGATTATTAGTTTATTAACTTTTAACTGATTAGGATTAAATAATCTTAGCTACGTGACGAAACCAGTTGTCTTTTTAGTAGCCATACAAATGACTCCAGTTAGATCGGACAAATGGTCGTTATCGAATGATTGCTTTTTATTGAAATATACATATCGTCAATCCCCGTACATAATTATCGACTTAGATATAGTTAGTGAATAATGGAATTAAATAAGTCAAATACGAGAATGGATTTTGAATACGTATATTTTGTACACTCATTAATCTGGACAGGAAATCAGAGGCACAAAGAGAAGAGAAATGATGCGCGGTGGAGAATGAATGTAAGCCAACTCCATTTAATCAAGCGTTAGTTGATATTTATAGTCAGATCAAAACAGATGTGTGGTGAATAGCGTAAACAATCTATGCACAATCACATAAAAACAGTCAGGATTAATAAGCAAATAATTGACAAGGTTAAAATGTGACTCAAGAAAGGTGAATAAATTGGCCTGTCTGGAAGCTAGAATTACCAATTTGGGGTTGACATAGCAACCGACATTACATTATAAATTTATGCAACACAATTTATACTACTATTGAGTAGTGTGAAAGTGTGTCATAAATTCTGAGTTGATCTAGTGGAACTCATATATATTAGCTTTAAAAAAAGGTATAATTCTTTAAACATTTTTGTCGTGAATAAACACGAACAAAATGAACTTGCATTAGTTTTATATAAACGAAGATCTATCTATTAAGGTAGCTACAAAAGGTTTTCTGTTCATAATAAAAGTTAATATACATGAAGTTCTTGTGTTGTTCCTTTGTACTATTTAAACTTGGATTAATTTTGATTCGGTTATTTATTCTCTGAAGAAGTAGCCTACACTGAATTACGAAACGTCAGGAAATCAAATTTTCTACCCATTGGTATATTACAAATCTATTATTTGATTTATAAAGTTTATTATTTGAAATACATTTTTCACGATTTGTTTGATTTAGAATTACTAATTGTATATTTTATATTAATTTCTGAATGTTATGAACATATGAAATCAATCAGTAATATTTGAGTTGAAATAAAGTTTGAACTGCCCCCAAATGCCCCGGTACAGTCGAGGATGGGGAGAGTCATCCCTTCCTCTCCAAATGCTCTCACATGGCCACGTGCATACAACCACTGCCAGAGAAGTTCTACTCACTGCCTTCTCGCATAGAGGGTGTTGTTTACAAAATTAAGTGGACAATAAGCGAATGTCCGGCGCTTTAACCGGGTTTCTGGGCACGGAGAGTCCACCTAAGGGAGTTGGAAAACCTGATTACAAACAAGATGTTATACATAGGCCCCAGGATCCTGCGGGAACAAATGGCGTACGAACAATTATTGCTTACCGATTGCATCTTGTGACGTTGATCCACTGCCTTGTGGATCAGACCTTTAGGTCAAAGGCTCTCAGTGTGGCCCCCTAACAAAACCACTGACTTCGGTCTGGGCGCCCGGACAGTATCACAGTCCACACACAAATCAAGTGAATTGTGAGGTGCATATGTATTCAGTGCCCCTCTGTACCAATATTTGTGTTCAAATAAATAAATAAATAATTAGCGCGCAGATAAAATGTTGTTACACAAATTATAGCATAGAGGATAGGGATCCTAGAACTTTACAGTAGAAATATAAGAGCCTTTTTTCCTTGTTTCGCAACTATTGATTTCATTTTCCGTAAACCACTGAAATACTTGACTACATCTCTATTCACTTGAATCTTAATCTATAAATTTGTATGATAAATTCCGAACGAATAAGATTTGTTGAATTCTTCTACGAATAAATAAGTCAGTGAAGTGATAATTCAACTCTTCCTTGATATATTCTACCAAAAATTATAACAGTATGCTTAGACAACTTATCAATAACTTCCACTCATCAGTGATAATCTCACTGATAATTGCCTTTATAATAACTATAATCATTTTAATCGTTGTAAACAGTTGTTGACTACTACCTCAAACTGATGTCTACTCCAGCCATTTTTTTTATCTATTCCTATTCATCTTAACTATTACTGATTGGACTGATTCCGAGATGGTGAAGACTTGTAGCTCAGGTGGATGATTTTGATGGAGTTTAGTTCACTGAATTGGATGGTTTGATCGTGGAGTTTTCATTGTTCTTCTGAACAATATCACCAGACAAAAACTTCAGGTAAAAGTAAAGTGTTCGAATTTCTTCATTCATATGGTTCATATCTTGGTCCTATAGACCTCGATGTTGATTGGTTCATTGTTTATTAATTGTTTACCAATGGGAGATACAACCAAAATAAAGAAGTAAACAATGACAGACTGAAAGTCAACAATAACTAATCAACATTAAGGTTTACAGAATAAGCTGTGAATCATATATATGGAGAAATCCGAACATTTCACTTCTATCTGAAAAGTTTCTGCTAATAATAGCGTTTATAAGCTCCATGAACCAAATCATCCAACTCAAAGAATAAAACTTTATCAAAATGAATTGATTTTGTAACCAATCACAAAGATGAATATCAGTCAGTCAGCTACAATGTAGGACCAGGCACATTTATAGTCAGTCAGTCAGTCAGTAACAACGTAGAACTTCGTACGTACGTACATCAGTTCGAGTTGCCACACCACATTATCACAGAGATGCAGTAGTCGATTCAAATCCTGTAGTGGTAGAGGTAATAAGAGTATAAGCAGTATAAGCAGGAAGATTAGGGTTTGGAGATGTTATTTAAAGAGTATAATCCAGTGAAATAAATTTGGAAAGAGGAAAAAAGGGACATGAATAATTCAGAAGATTAGAATTTGGGAGAACACAAAGAGTGAATGCATCTGCGCCATTGCAAATGATTTTGAGCCATGTCATTCAGGGTCTCTAACCATCGGTTGCTATCATCTCGCACATTTATATGCATCAGTTCAAGTTGCCATAACAAAAATGAATATCAATCTTTAAACAAGAATATTAATAATTCAATCAAATAAAAATGATTCAAACATGAACACAATCAATAACATCACTCAATCAATCATGACAACAGTACATAACAACAAATGAAAGAAGAAAAAAAACTGATCCCTTTAAATGATACTTTTTTTTTATTCTTTTCAACTGTATACTTTTGTTTGTTTTACACAAAAACTATTTGAATTCGTTATTCATGAATTATGAAATAAACAAAAGAACCTTAATAATAATAATCATCATCATCAATATAAATCAAACATTAAAACAAAACAAAAATTAAAACAAAACAAAACAAAATGAATGACTTATTTATTATTACATAATGATAAATATAAATACAATTGGTGGTGGTGGTGTTGTTGCTGTGGATGTTGTTGTCATTGTTGTTCTTGTTGCTGAGTGACAAAAGAGAAAAAAAATTTTCTGAAAGATAAAAACAACTCAAATGTTAAATTGTTTTGTTTATTTGTTTATTTAATTTTCTTTGTACAAGGATAGAAAAATCTTCATTATGATTACTAACAATAGTTAGTAGTAGTAGTAGCAGTAGTAGTAGTAAATGAATAATAAATACAAAATGTTTGTTTTTTTTGTTTTTGGTGAGATAGAAATCATAAATTTAATTGAATATCAACTGAATTCTATTTAAAAACTATGCCTATTTCGATGTAATTTGCGGGGGGGGGAGGAAGAGAGAGAGAAAGAGAGAGATAGAAGAAAAGGGAACAATACATATGGAGAATGAATAGAATGGAGTAAGTATTATCAAACCAACAAAAAAAAAGAAAAGATAATACTTTTTATATAAGGAGATCAGTTATTTCTATTGATAGGAACAATGAATTATATTAAATTAGTATCTGAAGTCGATGCAACTGTATGCGGTGGTTGAAGTTCTGGCAATGGTCCATCTAACCACTAGAAATTTTTTTATTAAAAAGAAAAAAATACAAATTAAGATTGAATGAATAAATTGTAAAATATGTATAAAATACGAAAACATATATATTGTATAAGCAAACATGGATAGTGGCTAGCAGTGAAATCCAGGATGTGCGTTTCGTCCTATCTGGGACTCGTCAGTTGAGTGTACTTACATCTCAGAGTTGATGTTCACTGGGAAGATACAAGCAAACAACACCAAGTGAGATATACTATAGTTTCAATTCATTGATTTAGACAAGTTATTTATTTATTCATTTGTTTATTTATTTGAACACATAGATATTGGTACAAGGGGGCACCAGATATATATGCGCCACACAAATTTCATTTGATTTGTGTGAGGGCTGTGATACTGACGATTGGCTATCAACTAATTTTTACTTAGAAAATAGTGTAAAAATAGTAAGCCAAAAGTATAAGAGACAATCAGTTGCATTTAATACAACAATTTCAAGGCCGAGGAGGATAATTGAAGAAAGAATATCGAATTATCGGATTAGATGCCACCTCATTTCGAATATGATTTAACCACGTATTTACAAAACAAAGCCCCTAAATGCCCTGTTACGGCTGAGTGGGGAGAGAGTTGCCTCTCCCTCTAGAAATGATCTCACACGGCCATGCGTATATAGCCTCTGCCAGGGAAGTCCTACTCACTGCCTTCACGCTCCACGGATGTTGTTTACGAAGTTGAGAGGACGAAAAGCGAATGTCCGGTGCTTTCACCGGGTTGCTGACCACGAAGGGTCCACCTAAGGGAGTTGGGAAACCCTGATTCCGAATCAATGGTGCACATGGGCTCCAGTATCCTGAGGGAACAAATGGCGGATGAACCAATCACTGGTCACCGGCTACCATGGGACTGCATCCCTTTACGTCGCTCCACTGCCTTGTGGATCAGACCTGTGGGTCGAAGGCTCCAGGTATGGCCCCCTAAGAAAGCCACCTGCTTCCGTTTGGGCACCCAGGTAGTATCACAGCCCTCATACAAATCAAGTGAGATTTGCGTAGCGCATATGTACCGAGTAACCCCTTGTACCAATATTTATGTGTTCAAATAAATAAATAAAATAATTAAAAAACAAAAGATTGTCGACAAAAACAATTCTATACGATGTAACAGTAGACAAGAAATAATGTCAAGAAAACGTGAAAACAAATATAATGAGAAGCGATTTGATTTTTACTTATTTTAAAGTGACTAAGACAAATCATACTGCTAGTTAAGAACTTTATAGTCTTTAATATAAACATGGTAAATTCACACAATTGAATATTCATCTTAGAATATAATATCTGCTAGAGTATGTGATTGTCAAATGGACTACTACAATTCTATTAGTTAACTTGTTCTCAGTTGCTTGATTAATTAGAATACCTAATATAGTAATCTTTCTAATACACTTTTGTTTGGTTATACTTGTCTATTCGTTTCTCTGTTGATTATATTACAACATTATTATATTAATCTATAAATAGAGACATGTTGACTGAATGACACTACACGATTTGAATTTATTGTAATACAATGCAAATCAAACTTATATAATGCAATCATGAACTTCATTCATTCAAATACAGTTGCTGGTGATTCTAGGTGCCAGTCCCATTCTGGTAATAATCGGATACCACCATTACTTCAATCCAGTCGTATCTAATAAATCTTTACATTGATTTTCTTTAATGATACTGCATATTAAAACCAACTTAATTACTTAAACATATATTTAGTAATATTCGTATTCAAGTTCCTATTTAATCTAATTGTCATCGATCATTAATTTAATGATTATTTATTTATTTATTTCAACACATAAATATTGGTACAAGAGGGCACCAAACACATATGCGCCACACCATATTCGTGTGTGTGTGGGGGGGGGGGGGCTGTGATACTGCCCGAGTGCCCGAACCGAAGTAGGTGGTTTCCTTAGGGGGCCACACCCCGAGCCTTTGACCTAAAGGTCTGATCCACAAGGCAGTGGAGCATCGTGAGGAGATGCAGTCCCATGGTAGCCGGTGACTAACGATTGGTTCATACACCATTTGTTCTCTCAGGATACTGGAACCCATGTGCACCATTGGTTTGGGATCCGGTTAAAGCGCTGGACATTCGCTGTTCGTCCTCTCATTTTCGTAAACAACACCCCCGCCACGAGAAGGCAGTGAGTAGGACTTCTCTGGCAGAGGCTGTATACGCGTGGCCGTGTGAGAGCATTTCGAGAGGGAGGGAGGGCCCACCCCACTGTCGGCCATACCAGGGCATTTGGGGGCTGAGTTTTGTGGATATTATAGTAATTTCAATGGGTAAGATCACGAGTCAGTTGAAGCTAGACCAACATAAGAAACCTGGAAGCACCGGGCGGCCGTTTCATCCTATTATGGGACTCCTCAGCAGTGCAAAAAAATAAATAATAAATTTAATGATAACGAACTGCCTCAAAGAAACTCCTGTAACCAGTGTACTTCCAACAACTGATATAAATGAAGTAAAACCACTGTAATATTTCCAATACTTTAAATATGTATGCTCAGAAATAATGATCATAATGATACCCTGGGTCAATCGGGTATCAGCCAAGTGATAAGTGAGAGATGCTCACGGTTGCACACTATTAGTCAAGATTTGGATTCACTGTCTACAAAGTTGATTAACATAGAATCATATGAATAAGTCCCTCTATCAGACTCACTTTAATTTCACTATATAAGGACCCCTTACTAACCTTGACAAATTCATTATTATAAACTATTCTTTCTTATAACCTGCTTTCTGATTAACTGAAAACGACCAAAATTATTTCGAGGCTATTTCAAGAGTCATTCAACTATGTCTGCCCTAATTTATATTTAATTAAACAACTAAACAAGATAAAAACAATTTACCTCAATAAGTGAATGTTCTGGGGCGGAAATAGCACGCATATGTTCATGTATTACAATTTTTGAAAAACGATCATGTTCAGTAAACCAACGAGTTTCTTCTTGTGTATCACCACGTAGATTAGCAACACCTTTAAGTAAAGCAGTTGCCCATAATTGAATTCCTATATCAGGTAAACGATTAGCTATGTGAATAGCTGCACTAATCATTTTATGACCTTCCTAAAATTAAATGAGTAAAAAGTTCATGAAAGTAAATTATTAGCAGCATATAAGAATAGTGAATAATATCCCATTTATATTTAATATGACAGATTTCATAATAGCATTAATTGTGACATGTAGAGTTTATCAATCTGACATGTGAGATAGATACATCATCAAAGGTAGTGGATGATAATCACCTAATACCGAGAACAGGCTGAACTTAAAAATGTAAACCATCGGATACCAACTCAATAATTTAAAAATAGCATACATCGTCTAAATATCCAGTTATTGATTCCCAATATGATCACGAGGGAGGAGTGCTGTTATGATATACTATGATATGATATACTATAGAAACAGTCAATATTATTATTTTATTGATTGAGATCATGAACCGATTGATGTTAGACCACCATGGAAAACCTGGAAGCACATGAGAAGTGGTGACCAGTAGAGTTCAATTAGGTCCGTTGGGAGAAAGTAACTCACTGAAGATAATGGCGGATAGTGGCGCAATTTCATGGATTGATTGAGGTCAAACATTAACATTATTGTGCTCTGAAGCTTAAGCGTTCGCGCGCAAGACTGATAGTTCCTAGGTTCGAATCTCGTGGAGTGGGATCGTGGATGCACACGGCTGAGGAGTCCCACAATAGGACAAAACGGACGTCCAGTGCTTCCAGGTTTTCCATGGTGGTCTAGCTTCAATGGACTCATGATTTCAACTATTGAAATTACTAAAATCTCCATAAAACCCCTTCTGATAATAAATTGCTATAATATACATGATATTATGTCACTGTGAATTTATTACTTCACATATCCATACTTACAGCTGTATTTTGTTCATTTAAATGAATTTGACCCATGGTAATAAAAGCTGAAGCTGATAAACGATGCAATTCTTCTTCATTCCCTAATCGTACAGTTTCACGTAAAAATAATTTTGCATCTGTTAGTCGATTTTCATAAAATGCTTGAAATGCTCGTACATAATCTGCAGCAGCACGAAGACAACAACAACCTTCAAGTACATGGATACCACATGAAAATACTTCATTTAACAATGCCTATCAGTAAAAAAGAAAATAATTAATGAGAAATCAAACCAGTTGATAAGATTATTTATATATAAAACAATCAAACTCAAAGAGACAGTTACACATTTTTGGTACCAGGGCCCAATGAAGACCAAGAATCGTTTAGCTTTAAATGTCTAACTAATCGTCTGACAGTATAAATGATGGGAGTAAATCATGTAATCAGTAGTTCGTGGAATAACTTTGAAGTTTGTTTATTGAACTTCGAAATATAATGCAAACATTGTATGTTTAACTTTAGAAGTGAATATACAGAGAATGTCACAAGTAGAATCCCGGCCAATCTTGGACAGATCAGATACATTTAAATACACTCATGCAATTCAGGGGAACTGCCAGCCAATTCAACGATCAACATCATTGATGAGTTGCATTTGATTTTTAATGCAAAATCCCATGGATTCACCTGTGACAATCGGTACATTATTAAAAATGTTCAAATGTTTAAATCCCGTGTTCAATGACTATGTTTTACGCAATGTATGCAAATTATCGAATTTCATGAGTGATTAGAACTAAGGGTGGAAGTGTGTAATATTTTTTAATTTTTTTGAAGAAGAAGAAGAAGAAGAAGAAGAAGAAGAATGAACCGAAACATTTTAGTATCATTAGCTACAAAAGACAGTCTTGTGAAGCTTACAAATCCTTATCAATAAATCTAATATGTGAGCAATCCAATGAATTCCGTTTATATTATATCTAAAACTGATTTAGAATCTCATCAGAAATATTATTATTTGGTTAGATTGGCAATGAAATACATTGAGCAAATATATCGATCATTATTTCTAATTCATCACTTGGTAAAGATTATGTCCTGACTTTGATATCCACTGAAGCAAACAAAAAACGGATGCATAAGATAGAATCTTACATAGATCACAATAATCCATTATTATTATGAGCTGTTAGCACTTACATTGGGGTTTGCAGAATCTAGTCTTACCTCTAACATGTGACAATTAGAAGTTAAGAACCAGTATGAAATGTTTTCCACCTGGATCAATGTATCTTAAGCGAAATAAAGCTTAATAGATCACATAATATCGCAAGGACACATAGTAATTGAAAAATGAACATATGGTCAGAATGACTGTGGCATTTTTGCTAATTAATAATTCCATTATACATTATTCCATGGATAATTGGAATTGAAAAATACAATACCTTCGGGTGTCTTCAGTGATCTCAGATTTGAATAGTGGTGTTCGTGACTACCACATTACAAACTGGACAGCCCTGGGAAATACTAATACAATTATACATCTGGCTACAGTTTCCATCCACAGATCTCTATAAGGATTGGTTCATACGTATAACTTAATAATAATACTATCAATAATTGCATTATTCAATACTAAAAACTCAGTACAATATGGAATTCCCAGCAAAAAATATGCACATACTCATCTAGATTTTGTCCATAAAGCTTTCTACCTACTCTTTGTTAAAACTTAGGATAATACATGAAAGATATATATAAATAGTCAGTTTAAATATATAAATAGTGAACAATAGATAGGAAGGAATAGGAATTCGAGTCAACACGTCGAGTCATTGAGTAATACTCTTATCTCTTCCATGGGTTAATGAAAATCAGCTTACAGATATCATACTAAAGACACATGTCATACAAACTACTTCAAACCAATACATTTTTGATGGTATTGTAATCCTTTGATGATATAAGTCAGTTAGTTATAAAAAAAAATCTAAAACCTAACAAATAGGTCCATTGGTTCAATATGTGCTATACCACACAACAGCATAATGAAAGAAAAAATTAACAAGAGGAGTAGATAATAATAAATTTCAGCCTGACAGCTAAACATAAGAATAAATGATATAGAGGAATGTTAATTTGAGATATAACACTTAATTCAGTATTTAAAGAATGTTAAAGAATAAATAAAATTATGTCATTGATGTGGATCTTGTCTCCAACCGCAAACTACAATTAAGATTTAGACTTGAAGTGTTCATAAACGAATACAACCCAAAATGAGTAATAACTTCATAATTTGTTTAGTTGGTACTACTGTAGTGAACAGAACACCAGTGGGGACAATCAAACGTGTTCAATACAAAATTACAGGACTTGTTAATAAAATCTAACAATCATATAGTGAATGCTTAATTTGCAAAATGTCCATCAGTTGTCTCATAATGATTCAGACTTCATTGTTCTTGCATTTTCATACAAATTGTATTCTGTTCCCATTCTTTACTGTTCGATCCTCTTGTCTCTCCGATGCCAGACCTTCCATTCACGACTAACATCATATACTACTTATGTCAATATAAGTAGCACATACCACACTACTAGCCATAATTTAATCCACTTTTATATTCATTAACAAATACTAGTCACACACACATAAATCAATCTACGTTGACAATCGCATCCATTGGATTCATCAGGGTTAATTTAGTCTAGATAGAAATAAGCGTCAAACTATTGAAAAACTGATTATTTATTAGTGTATTTTATTAAATTTTTCTACATCATAACAAGTGAGATGACAAAGTATCGGATGTATTTGTTTGTTTGTTTTCTTTTGTCAGAATTTATATACAAATGTTGACTTTGCAAATAAATTTATTTATTTAAATATATAAACATCAGTACAAAGAGGTCTGGGATACTGCCAGGGTGCTCAAAGCAGGTGGTTTTCGTAGGAGACCACACTCTAAATCTTCGATCTAACCGTCTAATCCACAAGGCAGTGAGGCAACGTAAGGAGATGCAGTCCCATGATAGCCGGTGACCAACAACAGGTTCATACACCATTTGTTCCTTCAGAATCCTGGAGCCCATGTACACCATTGGTTTTGAATCAGGTTTTTCCAACACCCTTAAATGAACCCTCCGTGCCCAGCAACCCGGGCAAAGCACCGGAAATTCGCTTCTTATTCTCTCAACTTCGTAAACAATACCCTGTTGCGAGAAGGCAGTAAGTAGGACTTCCCTGGGAGTGGTTGTATGCACGTGGGCATGTGAGAGCATTTGCAGAGAGAGGGCTGACTTCCCATTCTCAGTCGTACCAGGGCCAGATTGATTAACAAGTGTAATGCAAATAAATCTAATCATGAAATATGTATTTCTTATAAAAATGTAGTGGATAACAATTTTACATTATTTATGAACTTTCTGTACATGTACAATTAAACATTTTTTTGTGTAGTTTAACTCATTTCAATCAATTTAATAGAGACAAGATTCAAACCTATAACTTAAAGGATTTAATTATGATTTTTATTGAAATGACGCCGGGAAATGGAGATAGACATGAGAAAAATAAACAAGAATTGGATGGAACTAGAAAAGAAGGCCCAGGACAGAGTGGGTTGGAGAATGCTGGTCAGCGGCCTATGCTCGATTAGGAGTAACAGGCGTAAGTAAGTAAAAATTATTGAAATGAATTCATAAAGTGAAAAACATATTTCATATACACTTACTTCACATTCAACCGTATTACCTTTCCGAATATGTACTAAAGCTAAATTAAGACAAATTAATACTGACAAAGAATCACGTGGTCCATCTGGTTGACATGATGCCCTGGTAGAATTTGTTAAACTTAAAAGATTTTTATCATTTGGATTAGTTGTTCGACATCCAGTAACTTGTTGAGGTCCAGCAATAAGCTAAATATCATGAAAAGAAAAGTTAAAATTATTATCACTTAGAAAATTAGAAATTTTAAAGAAGAAAACTGTGAAATAATAGTAATGATAGTCACGCAGACCCCAACCAAGTAGTCTACATTTACCAACATGGCTCAGACTAGACGTTAGTGACTTTGTGGACTGATGCACGTTTTGGTTTTGCCACCCCCAACTTTCTTCTAGCCACCCCTAAAACACTAGTCAGCATTTCGCGTCGTGGTAATCAGTGTTCAGGCATACGCAACACGTGGCCCAACCATCTCAGTCGATGAAGATTTACAACCTCATCAACTGAATGACCATCATTCTCTAATACCCTACGTCTAACCTCACTATTAATTACCCGGGGTTCCCAGCAGGTGCGAGCAATATTTCTAAGGCATCTGTGATCAAATACTAGTAGCTTACGAATAGTTACGCAGCCTTCAAAACAAGACATAAAACAGTAAATATATAAAATTCCTTGTCAATAATACAATCCTTTCTAGTATAAAGTGTAATTTTGACCTCACACTCCCACCAACACAACGAAACTACTCACTTAGTGATAGCAATAACTTCTAATTCGGTAACTATTAAACCAACATTCCTATTACAATGGAACCTCAATTAATAACCTTTTCAGTAAATCTATTCTGATCAGATCATTGAGATAGGTAAACTTGATCATCAAATGGTGGTTTATCAAACTTATAGAAATCAGATAACATTGAGAAATCTGACTATCACTTGAGAATTTATTTGGATATATTTGATAGTGAATACTATCTATCCAGAACATTTACTGTTTGAAATATATCCTGTATAACTGTAAAAAAATTGTTCATTATCACATATACTCTAACGGGATCGTGGATGCGCACTGCTGAGGAGTCCCACAATAGAGCGAAACGGCCATCCAGTGCTTCCACGTTTTCCATGGTGGTCTAGCTTCAATTGACTTATGATTTCAATCAGTGAAAATTCTTACTTGATCTATTACATTTTAACATGAATTCAGTTGACATAAATGAAGCAGAAAAAAAGAACTTGGAAATTTCAATGATATTCATTATATTCCAGATAGTTATGACAACAACAACAACAACAACAAAAATTGATCTGAATGTATGACATCATGTGATGGATCAAGTAGTTACGATAATACTTAGAATGAATTAGTGATTTGGAGGATACATCATTGATTGATTTGAACTTGAAAAAAACATTGAAAACTATCAAACACTACATAGTTGTGTTTATTGTATTGTTTTAAGCCCATGGAATTGTAAAAACAACCAAGTTAGTGTATGTCATAGTCATTTCAATTCATGAATAACCTAAGACTTAATAACCTCGATCACAAGTAAATAATATATATATATATCTTTTTTTCGATTCCGACAAATCAGATAAACAATGGTATATTACGAGTTAAGCTCATTGCTATTTAAAGTGTTATGGATATCAATGAATTTAAAAGTGAAAACCCTAAACTTTATCCATTGAACCATTTTACTACTCGTAAGTAGCTGAATAAAAAAAGATAAATTTCATTAGTGTAGTGAGATGTTGGAGGTGATAAGAAAAGTGTAATGTATTTGTGTTACATATTTAGAACAATCTAGTCATACACATGCTCATCAAGGTAAAAGTTCAATATCGGTATGTTCAAAAATATCTATTACTGTCTACAAGATATTTTTAAAGCGATATAGGTCTATATGATACCTGACTTGAGTAAAACTTACACTTAAAAGATATAGAAATTAGATCGTGGTCAGCTTTAGACAGGAGAATTTTCACAGTTAACGGTTCTGTTAGACGTTATAGCATAAGGAATAAGTTTGTAGTTTATTACCACGAGTTAATCCTTTTTGAGTAACACAGTCTGGTAGTCAACATCGCGTGGAGTAATCACTATGAATTCACTGTTCTCAATGTTGAACATAAAACAAATCAAACAAATTCTAGTGCTTGAGAAAATAACTATAGGAGACATAAATGAAATACGAAAAACAACCAATCTCTCATTAATATAAAAGCACATGTAGAGGTATGTCACTATATCTCAGATTGTTTAAAGTTGAAATTGTATTATTGAATATTGACTCAGTGGTTCTAATGGTTGGGTGCACTTCAGACTCATAATTTCTGGGTTCGACACATGCTCCTGGAGAATCCCAGGTGGAAACGGAACAGCTGTCTAGCACTCTACAACTTTTAGTAGTACCACAACTGAGACCAAACTATGACGTATGTAGGGGACAAATATTTAATACATAAAAGAGCCCAATCCAACTTACTCTTAAAGCATACTTAAACTGATTTTCCGCTTGATTCATACAATTCATTGACATAGCATACAAGCCAATTAAAGTATGCAACTGTGGGAGGCGTTTATACATTAGTGCAGGATTCGCTTGACATATTCGATATGCTTGACCAATATCTTGTGCAGCTGCTGTTTGTACACCCATTACTAAACGACCCATAGCCGTATGTTCTAGTAAACTTAAATGGAATACAGTAAGTAATGGACTAGTATCGAATACAGATAGTTTTTCAATTTGTATTAATGCTTTTTCAGCTGATCGTTTAGCTCTATCCAACATTCCAGCTTGCATTGATTGCATCACCGTAACAAGGTAAACTAGTATAACCATATGTTCACGAGGCATCCAATGAAATCGTTCAATTTCATTTGTTGATGTAGTATCAGCTGTTAAATTGAAATAAAATAATCAATAAACAAACAAAAGGAATTAAATAATTTGTCTCCTATTTAATAAACATGCATTTTGGTACAACTGCAAAATAAAAAAGCTGTGAGGTATACAAATAAAAGGAAAACATTATGAAGAAATAAAAGAAAAGAACAATAGCATATAACAAGAAATGGAACCAGGAATAATTCTTTCAGTTAAGGCAGCTCCCAGCACTTTATGAAGGATGTAAAACAAAACTACACAAGATAGGCACCGGCTTCTATTCTGAGTCATTTATGATAACATCCCAAAATACTAAGTTGCACTAAATCTAGGATCCCAACCAGTCTTGCCGAACTACTTGACCTTCAGGTGCAAAGTAAATCTTGTACCTATAGATAATAAATACTAACTGATCAAGTACGACTTGGATATTTTGCGTATCATTGCACGGTAGGACAGTGTTATCTGTGGCTTCAAGGTTCAAGGGTCCTTCTCTAGGTAACAGATTCACGCCATCATGTACTTCATCCAGAGCTGTTTCTATGATGTCATTGATGAAAATGGTGAAGGTGAATATTGATATTGGCAAAATTTACTTAACCCTACTGCTGAACTGTAACAATTAAGAGATAGTTGCATGCCCTTAATCTACCTGGGGTGTTTACGAACTGAATCTCCAAGATGCTACTAAATTCCTTAGGCGCACTCTTTTTCAATAGATAACATCGGAGTATAGTTCTGTCCAACGAATCAAGCGCCACATAATAGTATTACCACAATTTTACTGATGATTATCATCCGTTCAGTGAACAATCTTCTCTTATCCACTTTGCGCTAAATAACTATTCTATTTTTATTGCGATGATAATATGTCAAGGTTAGCAGACAAGAAATATGCTGAACTGATCAATAATTAATACACCTCAACATATAATAAATATGCAACCAAGTTTAGAATTACAGTGTGGTATTCTGAAACAACTTTGTATTAACATAATGAATTATGAATAAATAACTCAAATGATAATTTTAAAATGCGTGCTAAGAGGGTGCAAGACGTATGCTAGTACATTTGTCCAGTATTTCCAGGTTTTCAATGGTGATCTAGCTTAAACTGACTCGCACATTCAACCGCTAAAATAATACAACCTTCACAAACCCCCATACTGATAGTAAATTTGTGTTAAGAAAATTAAGATGAAGAGATATTCTTTTTGAAGATGATATCAAATTAGAATTTGACTGGTAAAATAAATACTTAGACGAGCAAATACAACTCCAATAATGGAGAACAAATTGGCATCCTACGCTAAATCTAAACAAACCGGGAACAGATTTTACAAGTCAACAGTCGAAAGTTAAACAGTCGAATTATCGAGTTATAACTTCATTAATTTCATATGTGAATATTTTTAATAAACACAGAGATGGAATAGGAAAGACATGTTCATCACATTCAACTTCAGGCCACACTATTTGTGAGTATTAGTGATACTACCCAGCTTTCTAAAGCAAAATAGGTGCAGTATGCTGTGAACCTGTTTTTATTGATTTATTTGAACATATGAATATTGGTACAAGGGGTCACCAGATATATATGCGCCACACTTTGAACCTGAGAGCTGTAGGTTAAAAGCGGGGATAAGGAGTGGTTGGTCAAGTGTGACATATATCTCAGCTATCTTCCTACATTACAGTTCATGGTCTAATCAACCTGTATATCATTTTTACTTGAAATCGTGCGTCAAACATCAGGATTAATCGCTCACCGGTTTATTAACTGACAACAATAATTTGATAACAAGTGACATAAGTTCGCCCCACTATTTGTCAGCTTGAGCTATAAGATTTACTGAAGCGAAGTTATGAAACCTTGAAAACAGACTAGACAGGAAACAGGAACATGCATCGAAGAAGAGGAAAATTTGATAGTATCTATACTAAGTAGTAGTATTACAACCACCAAACAAACTATAGTAGGAAATATCACAAAATAACGGCAATTAATACTTATGCTCATTCTGTGTTAAATTCACCGTTAATAGTCCTAGTCTGATGATTAAAGCTTTTGGTTTTCAAATTAGCAGGTAATAGATTTTAAATCTACTCACTACCCCTCATATACAATGTAACGAGGAGCTAAGTATATAAATCAGTACTTGGTAAGTAAGTAAGACTTGTAGTCAAAGCTTCTATGGTATTTTCAGTTAAACAAGTGATTTTAACTAAAGACACAAATTACCTTCATCCATAGCAGCAAATTGTTGAATACTTTGATGTAGTTGTCGTAATATTGGATGGGCAGATTTTGCTTGACCAGAAATAAGATAAAATGAAACATGTAGAACAAGGTAAAATACACGTAAAGCTTCACGATGATACATATTTCCTTTGAATTGTTCAATTAATCGACTAACATTGGTTAATGTGACTGTAACTTCCGGAAGTTGTCTACTTGCCAAAAGTAACTGTAAGTACATAAAAATCAACAAGAAAATTGTCATAAAAGAACTGGTTATATTATCATAAATAAGTATTCTGTTACTTGACGTTTTACATAATGATACTGGTTTCTAATATTTCTCTACAACAAACTACATATCTAACAAAATGATGGAGAATTTTTAAGAAACAACACTGGTAGTACTTTGTTCTACTGGAAATCAGTGAAACATCTTTCCTTTCAGAAAATACTTATTTGGCTATGTTGATTTTGCTTTATTGCTAATCTCTAAGTAATAAGGGGTACGTCTAATCACAGAATTCTTTGCATTTAGTAGCTTGAACAAATTCTAACGATAAACACTGCTAAATATTATATAACTACTATTACAAACCCCTCCCCCCCACACACACACACCGACAAAAAATAAAGAAACAGGGAAATAATAAACAACTGACCATGCATTTACTTAATAGAAATAAACCATTTGTATAATCGGAATTATGTAAACGTGCATATTCTGAGCCCATTGCCAATATTTCACAAGCTGAATTCACATCTCGTTCAGCAATATGAGCTTGCTATAAAAATAATAATAAACAATATAATCTAGTGAATTGTTAAATGAAAAGAAATTTATGTCTAATATTTATAAATGTTAAATAAGATCTTTGATAACTGATTGATCTCAACTTTGATTTATGTATGAAATTTCATAGTTGTAGTTGTCATTTGAAGTCAAATCGGTTGAGTATTTACTTAATTACCACAGTTAAGCAATTATAATTAACATGGGACCTAGCATAAATGTGAATTGATAGCAGTTGCCATACTACAATATTGCAACGATATGAAATTAAATAGATGAGTAGGAAACGAGACAAAATAATCTTGGAAGTAATGACAATGAGAAAAGCTAAACAATGAGAATATGATTCAAAAAAAAAGAATGAAATAGGATGCATAAAGAAAGACTGAAACTTAATATCTAGGCGAAGATAAACAGTGAACGTAACTGAGTCCTTTTGGACGATTCTGAGTCATGTTCACTCAAAGTCTCCAGTTACTGATCCCGGTTATTGTGAGGACTTACAATCAAACAATATGTGCCTATCAACATAGCTTAGGCCAACAGTCAATAATTTCATTGATTGCTACCGCATATTCACTTAGTCGCTCCTAACTTTCTTCAAACTTGCTCGTAAACCAATCAACAATGAACGTCGAGGTAGATGGTGGTTACGCATACGTATCAGGTGTTCCGGATACTTGGGTCAACAAAAATGTACCTTATTGATTAGACCAATAGAATTTTAATTAACAATTAGTAAATTTGAAATCCAATTAAATTAATTCAGTTTATGAATCTGGGTAATATCATTAATCCTCGTATACAAACGGTGTGGTACAAAGCTGAATACATAAATCTGTACTTGATAGATGATTTAATCTATTCACTTATTATTATCATCACGATATTTATAATTCCTATCCATTGGACGAGTAAATTAATCGAATTGGGGAGGAGACGCAGATGGATTCATGTATAGTCTAAAGAAATATTTTACGGAAACTTCACTTTAACAGTTAACACTTACTGCCAGTTCCAATAAGATTCGACAATGCCAATATGGACTGTTATTTGATAATCTGATGGCATCATTTAGAATACAAGTTGCTTCATATCGTTTACCCTAAAATTGTGAAACAAGAGAAGTCATGTGAAAATAAAGCTTTCGTAATAAACATTCAGCCCTCAAATGCTCTCACATAACCACGCCTATACACCCACTGCCAGGGAAGTCCTACTCACTGCCTTTTCGCGCCACCGGTGTTGTTTATGAAATTCAGGGGACAAAAAGCGAATGTCCGGCGCTTTTTGCCGGGTTTCTGGGCACGGAGGGTACATCTAGGGGAGTTGGAAAACCCTGATTCCAAACCAATGGTCACATGGGCTGGAGAATCCTGAGAGAACAAATAGCGCACAAGCAAATTATTGCTTACCGACTGCATCTTGTGACGTTGCTCCACTGCCTTGTGAATTAGGTCGAAGACTCCGTATGTGGCCCTTTAAGAAAACTACCTGATTTGGTCTGGGCACCCAGACAGTATCACATCCCACACACAAATCAAGTGACTTGTGTGGCGCATTTGGATTCGGTGCCTCTTTGTACCCAATCAAATAAATAAATATAAAGATTTAACTTTATGAGTAAAACTTTTACTCCCAGAAATGGGATTTGGAGTGTGAAATGTGGGATTATCCAAGTCAACAATCAGCAAAGTTATCTCATCTATGAATCAAAAAATTATCTAAATCTGGTGTTTCGTAAACTATAGATTTTGTTCCAATGGATAAAAATTAACATAGCAGTGTACAGATCTCAATGTTCTTGGTTCAATATAGACGTGTTTGAGAATATAAAGCAGACTATTTGCTGATACTTTTGTGACATTTTGACTGACATTAGATTATGAAAATTAGGTAAATATTGTTTTCAAACAAAACAGTAGTCAGATAAAAATATTCCTTTTGACATCATAGAACTGCACAAAAAATTATGGTATAATTTATATCAGCAAATGAATTAGGAGTTTTTAATTGTAAAAAAGAAAAGAAACACTTACTTTTCTTTCAAAGAACTCAGCTAACAATGTAGCAGCTTCAAATTTGATGGAATCATCACTAGCTTTTAGATGTGCTCCCAAAGTACGAGCCTTTTCCAAGTGAAATTTTGTTTGTTCATCGCTTTTGCTATAATGAAACAGTAGCCGTCCCAGTTGTAAATGTGTGCGAGCTTCTAGATTGACAGAAAGTTTGAACTGAAGAATAGCTTTGAGACAATGAACGGCAAGTCGCATATTAGGAGGACTCATTGTCCTGAAAGTTTCAGCCAATCCCAAAAGAGCAGCATAACAATCAGACACAAGAGGTCCATCTGCTGGTAGTTCTGAGCTTATATGACTTGCTTGAATGGGTTGAGAAATAGGTTGTGAATAACATGCTAGTGGTTGTGATGATGGTACTGTGGAAGCCAGAACATCAGCACTGTAAACAGTCTGTGTAGGGGTCATTGTCTTTTGATGAGTTATTGGATTGATAGGAGACCATAATTGTGGTTGAGATGCTTGAGATAATGATGAAGTTGCAATATTTGTTCCTTGCATTGAAATCCTCGATGCAGTAATTATCAGCTAATAGTATTTCGACTGTTTTGTTAACCTAATCACAAGAAATAGTTTATGAGTAATATTGTGGATATAGTCTGAGAATTGTCACAATAAGTGCCCAAACCAAACAGAAGTGACTATTTGGAAACTTATTAAAAGCAAGGATCTATAACGAAGACGTATATTAGTAGAATTTCTTGAGATTATGCACGGACAAATAATGTCGCCCCATCCCTACAACAACATTCTGCACGCACGAAATTACTAGGAAGCTCTGATATTTTATTTTCATCCATTTAAAATCTAATTGTTGTATGAAAATTTGATATGTCGAACTTCTATAGCTCTAATCATTTAAAGAGAATGTGAGGAAGTGAGTAGAAAATTGATGAAACCCACAACCTTATTCATATAATTTAACAAGTTGTATGTTATGCTTGTTATTATGTAAGCTAAGAATGACAACCAACTATTGAAATAGAAGCCAATTTATATCTGAACTTGAAACTTAATGATCGTAGGTTATGTGCCCGTACGCTAACGATTAACAATTATCCCTCTGACCATTTTCAAACTGTAGAACTTCAATTCCATATCTTGGATAGATTTTTTAGACAAAAAACCTGCAATAAGAGGGTTAACATATCCAGGTAGTAGTATTACTGGAGCGGTAGCTTAGTAGTTTAAGAACCCGACTTTTAACCATAAAGTCACAGGTCTGAACCTCAGTAAACTATATTGATCTGAGTAGACGAGCAGTATCAATAGCCCTCTCAAAATCACGTACATAGGTCCTGTACTACATAAATGAGTTGTATTACTAATATATCACTGATCTTTATACACATGTAGCTGATAATCTAAACCAGATTATGTTTCCAGTAGGCCTTTAAGAAACTAGGATCAGTTCAGATAATTTAACTATGATGCTAAAATCGATAAACAAAGGCCCGCTTCATCATACACCAGGGAAACCGAGATGTAGATGTATACTACTAATTCTCATGGCAAAACTAAACATCCCAGCATTTGAAGTTTTTCCAAAACAAAAATGAAGGTTTGACAGCTTCCGGTTAAGCTTATTTGTCGTACCAGCCGAATTGTGGTCAGGAATAAGTAGATGAACTGTAAATACATATCGAAAAGTTTTTACAAAAGAATTTAATCGAAAAAGACCAAAAGACTACTGGAAATAATATGGAGGTCTAAGGTTTTCTACCCTAAGACATTATAGTTATGTAGCGATGTCTTAATTACTTTAAACACTAAGATTTTAACAGGAAGACGACTGGGTTAAACCATATTCAACTAACCTAGGTCGTACAGTCAGTTATTATCACTTGCTCGTAAACAACAGAAGTGATTCATAGCCTAATAAACAGAATTCTGCGGTTCCTGGGTCGACTTATTACTAGTATATAACCTCAAGGACTGACCTCTGAATCCATAAATACCCGCAACGTGAAGCTTAAAGACTAGACATACGAAGCGGAAAAGATTAAATGACACTTGAGTAGTGCCTTTTGAAAACACAATACCAACTGATAGATCAGTATTCTGTAATTTTGACATGCGAAACTTGCCGTACAACTTTACAAATAGCTTAGATGCTAAAGGATACAACAATTAGATAACGGTAGTATGTTAAGAATGCATGAAGAAAGGGGGTAAAACAGTGGAGGCTACTATACAAATAACCTAGGGGGATAATTCACACGTCCAAGAGTGAAAGAGTCTGACTGCTACTAGAATATGGATTATCATAAACTTTTGTTAGTCTAAACTGTTGATTCTTCTTTGTAGCAGAGTTATTTTTTAAGTTTTGTTTGCGTCCTAACTTATAAAACTTTCTTTTACACTTTTAGTTACAGCAACACAGAAGTTATAGCTTTTTGTGTTATGTCTATCACTTTTAAAGCTCTCGAAACACCATTATTCTAGAAATCTCCTTTTCGTTTTCATCGTCCTTTGTTTCGTTTTCCGCAGTCAACTAGACTCTTTTCGCCGTTCTGTTCGTGAGTTTGCTTAAGAATTTTAATGACGCACATAAAATATCTTTGTGGTAGAACCACATGTTTCTTTCCAATCAAGAATGAAATGCAACGTGACAACTTCAACAAAAGGTATCTCAAAGTGTGTACCGGACTCGCATCGGCAGCATACAAGAGTTGTTACAAGCCACTATCATATTGGCTGTTCAAGGCATGCTGCTCTACAGTCTCTGTTGATTCTGGAGGCGATTGAGCTGTTAAACACAGTTAGAAAGCTTCCCTTGGATAAACAGCCTCCAGCAGATGAGCAGCTGTCAGATCTCGAGGAAGCGATGAGTCGTCATAGATCCAGCTGAATGAAACCATCAAGATGGACACCCAAAATGTAAAGGATGACAAACACATGTAGCACAGGTTACAGGGAAAGAGAAAAAGCACGCTAAGAAGAAACAAATTACAGAGAGCACTAAAACATGAGTGGACGGTTTCAGCTACAGAACCCCACATCAACGCGAAACAAACTATGCAGGAGAAAAGCCTGAACATTCTAGATTTGATTAAGAAACAAAATAAAGTCAACGATTGGTTTACAGTAGAACGTAGAAAACTAAGGAGAAAGAGTGGTAGCTGCACATCTGTACGCCTGACGCCAAATCGGACTGAGGGGATGAGAAAAGTTGAGGAAAACACCTCGAAGCTTGTCGAAACATGTCTTGCAGAGAAGTCAGTCATTTCCCATAATTTAAGAGTCTTTTGAAAACGAACCAAATACTAGGTTTCAACACGACCTAATGCATATTAAGTCCTTAACCAGCAAACTACTCCCGGAAACAGTAGCAGGAGTTATTATTCATAAGCTCTATATGATAGGACAGAATTGGATTCCGAAAGTACTTAGGCAAGACTCCTCTTAAAAGTTACTTTTGCTTCCACTGAAGAAAGAAACTTAATAATGGAAAATTCACGCAAACTGGCTGAATCCGGAATATACGTCCGTGTAGAGATCAGTTTGATTGATTCTATCAAGAAACGATCGGTAGGAGATACTGATGAGCGCCGTTGGGACGATGAAGAAAGCCTTATACTTAAGGGTTTCATCAATGTAAAAGTTCGGGACAAAATGGCCTCTTAAACCACGCGATGGTATGGGAAAGCATTTCATAGAATCAAAGGTATGCTATACAAATTCTCGCAGCCTACCAAATGAAATGGAGGAGTTTAAAAACGTGGTGGATAGAGAAATCCTTGATGTCATTGACATCTCAGAAACGTGGTTAACGTCGTAAGTGTGTGATAGTGAAATTCAATTGCTTGGTTTCCTACTTTGTAGAGCCGATAGACTAAACAGTAGTGTTTGTGAGGAAATCCGTATGCACGTGCATCTCAGGTGGACAGACGTCCTCGTTAACTGGTTTAAAACATGAGTAATGCCTATTAACGCGACTAAGTGCGTCTACGTGTACACTGAGGAAGCAAAAGCAAAAAGGTAAAGAGTTGGGGAAGATTCGTTGCCCGTAGTTCGATCTCCCAATGATCTTGTGGTGCCAGTGGGTCATGATCTCAAGACCACGGCCCACTACCGTGAGGTTGTAGGCGAGGGGTTTAGATCAGTATAAGCTTTAAGACGAACATTCACCAAGTTAGACACTAATGTGTTCACTACAGTATACGCAATTTTAACGAGAACTAATCTTGAACACTTCGTTCAGGCTGCAAACCCTTGTTTAAAAGGTGAATCGGTTATCTGAGAAAACATACAAAGGGTAGTCACCCGTGCAATTCTAGAACTCCGATGTTTACCATGCAAAGAGTGGCTTGAGAATTTAGACCGCTTTACTATGTCGTACCGTAGATTGAGGTGATTTGGTTTTGGCGTATAGAATACTAAGAAGTGCTTTTGGACCTGATATATCCTCTTTTTCCTCCTACCACATCAAGATAACTCAGAGGACGTAGAAGGCGAGTACAAATAGAATGACGTATATGGGCAGAATTTAGAATCAATCTTCATACCCTTTTTCTGGAGTAAGAAAATATAATCATTCGGTAATTTGACCATATGGAGAAAACTTATTATCGCTTCTACAGATCATTCAATTTAACTAGACACTTAAACCCATGTTAAAAGAATATAACGCAAACTATATACAAACAAAATTTATCATGTACAAGCTATCCCAAAATCTAATAACTAGTGTAACTAAACGTCTGTATCATTTGTGTATCATGTGTGAAACATGGGAACTCCATATATATTATATATTTCGAGTAATGATATTCGGAGCATATTTTAATCCAGGCTTCAAAGAGGCCTTCATTGAGAAACTGTTTCTTTAGAAAGGGCTACAACCTTATCAACAATAAGCAGGTTAGTCAACACATATGTTTGGGTTGAATTAAAAAAATATTGTGCTGTTGTTGGTGAGATAGTCTATGTGTTTACGAAGACACTTACACTTTTCGACAGAAACACTTTGACGATATACGTAAAAACCAGTTTCATAGAAGTGAGAATCAATTAAGCAGAGCCATATCCGCACAATACAGATTACTTTATGCGTTACTCACCAACTTTGAAAGGGTGGTCTTAAGGTTCAAGCTACAATATTTACCGATTAAAAAGGCCCACAGAAAGTTCCCAAGGTCTTTAAATCATGATAATGTGATGTCCAACCTTATCAAATGAATCTATTTTATACATGCAAGATTGCAAGAAAACTGATGAAATTTACTACGATTCTGAGGCTTATTTTTGTCAACGAGACATGAATCATTTAAGTGGAAATAAAGAATATATGTAAAAACACCATAGCTAGATGACGTACACTTTACCAAAGACAGTTTTTATATGATAGCCGCACTTGCTCGAAACGACTTTTTCGTATATTGTATATGGTATTGTTTCTCGTTGAGTTAATTAACTGTTTTGATCGTAAATTACGCATCAAAACTACAGTTTACACTTTAATTGCATCTACTCCTGCTAAAGTGATATTGTATTGAGTGTTTCGATCTTGCTTTTGTGTTTTTATTGCATCGAAGCATACTTGGTCGACTATTACCTGATTTATTTAGTTAAGGTTTGAGAATCCTTTTACATATCCTATTTTTGTCACCGTTGTAGTTGATTTTCAAGATGGCTAGCTCTGCCCATAAATGTGGGCAACCATATCGTTTATTCCCCGTGGAGGAAGAGATGCAGTGTGATGAGTGTAATAAGTGGTTCCATAAGATGTGCACTCGATTAAGCCCCACTGCATATAAAAGGTGCTCAAAGCCCAACTCTCATTGACTTTGTAGTTTTTGTTGCTCGAGCAAAACATTACTCATCCAGGAAGCAATTAGCCTCCTGATGTTGGCTAATAAGAAGGTTGATGAGGGCCGTACTGGTAACATTGGTATTGATGGCGAAGATTGCGTTAGTGTCGTAAGTGTTGTCACGGCGCAAGCCAGACATCTACCTGTGCAACCCGCAGTTAAACGTTCTCCCCCGAAACGGTCAGTGAGTTACACCTCATTAGACGTTGGTAGCCACATTGCTACAGCTGCGACTAGTGATCCAGATAAGACAATTACTGTCCCGAGTTGTTCTAATATAGATGTTTCGACTGATGGAAAATGGATGACGCGAAAACGCAGAAGAGTAGGAAAGACAGCTAAAACTAATGACTGTTTACTTGATAAGTCCTTGGTGGACTCTCAGACCAATCCGCCAAAGTCCCAAAGTAAAGCTTTGTCTAACATTGTTGTGAGTCACTCGCTTGACTCCCAGGACTCTGTTACAATAAAAACTAATCGTAAGATACCAGCAGTTAATATACGGGATCTAACGTCACGGTCGAAAGCTGTTAATACAATTTCAAAGGAAGCTAAACACCTTCCTAGTTTAATTATTTGGAATATAGAGGAGTCGAAAGACAGCGACTCTAGTAGAAGACATGCACATGACCTGCAGTTAGTGGGGTCTGTGGTAAGAAATGTTCTACCTGAAGAGGTTTCAGGGGTACATATTACAAAAGTAATACGACTTGGTAAATGGATTGGAGGCGAGATCCAGCCAAGAAGTATCCTGAAGCTGGTTCTCGGAAGTTTCGAAGAAAGAGACATATTATTGAAAAATGCACCAAAAACTCGTGACTCAAATATCCGTATTCGACCAGATTGGCCGCTTCAGGATCGAATCAAGTGGAAGAATGCTCTTACGGAGTTGAGGACTCGCAAATTAAATGGCGAAAATAACCTTACCATTAAGGGTTTCCGGGTAGTCAGGTCTTGGAAGCCAATGCTTCCGAGGCCTGTATGGGTAGAACGATTGATTGCCAAAACACCTTAAGTGTGTGCTACACGAACGCTCGTAGTCTTAGAAATAAAACGTCCGAGCTAAGTCTGATGGTGGAAGAATTATGTCCCGATATAATCGTTGTTACAGAAACTTGGTTCACCGTTGATATAGACTGTTCTCCTTTCATTGCTTGTTATATCTGTATTAGAAGTGATAGAGTTTCAAGTCGCAAAGGAGGAGGTATAATACTATACATTAGGGATCACTTTCGTATACAATCACCCATATCGGAGGCTCATATCAGTGGCACATGTGAGGTTGCATGTTGTAAGATTAAATCTAGAAATGGGTTAGTGACTATAGGGGGAATATACCGTAGTCCGTCTTGTCTTGCTGACGACTTTATCCTAAGACACATCTGTTCTTGGAGAATAGCAGAATGTTGTCTCATCATTGGGAAATTCAACGTACCGCATATCAACTGGATAGAGCTTACAGCTCCAGGTAGTGATTTCGATAGCGACCTTTTATCTACCGTTATTCAGTGTGCACTTGTACAATGTATCACAAAACCGACACATATTGATTTCAATCATGATCCGTCATTGCTGGACCTCGCCCTCACCCACCACTCTGAGGATGTTTTTGATATTCAGCACCTTCCCCCACTAGTGAACAGTGGTCACGTTGTAACTCACTTTAAGTTTAGGACACATGGTATACAATTCGCATCTGCTCCACCCCGTCCCAATATCTGGCGAGCCAATACTCCGGCGATCAGAAACTGTGCTATCTTGACTGATTGGTTGGTCGACGCGGATGGATTGATCGAAGATGAGTGGAATAAGTTTAAGTCTACATTCGAGTCCGTACCGTCGCCGTTTATCCCATGGTCAGCACGTAAGCTATCACATTGCCCTCCATGGATTAATAAGGAAACCCGGAAGCTGTTAAAGCGTAGGAAACATTTCTGAGACTTATTCTTGTTGACATGTCACGAACCATTTAAGCGTGAGTACCGGAAATTCCGTAATATCTGTAAGAAAACCATAGCCAAATCCCGTACCACTTACGAACGACAGTTAGTATATGACAGCCGTACTTGTCCGAAACGATTGTTTTCGTATGTTAAACGGCGGACGAAACGTAGTGATGGTATTCCCTCGTTGCTGTTACACGAAAATTCAGAATTACTAGGTGAATCAGATCAAGCAGAAGCTGAGACTTTTTCAAACTATTTTAGCGAAGTCTTCTCTACGTTTATTGTAGCAAATACTTGTCACACTCACACCGAAATACCAACCATTGAATCTGTACAGGTGACTGAGGAAACTGTCCTTCCGTTGATAACTAACCTCAAACCTGGTTAGATACCGAGCCCTGATGGGTTACATCCACAATTGCTGTCATCTCTTGCGGACATTATTTCAAAACCGCTTGCGACACTCTTCAACATGTCTCTTTCACTCGCTCAACTCCCTAGAAATTGGAAGGACACTATAGTCAGTCCTATATTTAAGGACGATCAGCGACAGATAGTATCTAACTACCGGCCTGTCAGTCTAACTAGCATAGTCGTTAAGTTACTTGAAAAGATAATTCGGGTTAGGTTGCTAAGCCACATAGATTTACACAATCTGTTAGCTCCTGAGCAACGCGGATTTCGTAACAAGCGTTCATGCTTGACTAACTTGCTTTTTGCGACAGAGGATTGGACAGCAGCCCTAGATAACGGTCTGTCTGCCGATGTGATATTCATAGATTTTAGCAAAGCATTTGACAAGGTTTCACACGTAGATCTTATGCAGAAGCTCACGAGCTTCGGAATAATAGGTACTGTACATGAGTGGATAGGAAATTTCTTATGTGACCGCAGACAGAGAGTTAGGGTCAACGGAACGCTATCCGATTGGAAGCCGGTCAGAAGTGGTGTACCCAAGGCACCATCTTAGGCCCTCTGCTCTTCCTTCTCTACGTTAATGAGTTACCGCTGTTACTTAGGTCGTCGACATTATTGTTTGCGGATGATGTAAAAATCTGGAGAACAATAAAAAGTGCGGCTGATCATGTGGATCTTCAAGCTGACTTAGACGATTTAGTTAGATGGGCTCGAGAGTGGGGCTTAGAAATCAATGCTAGGAAGAGTGTACTAATGCACGTCGGTCACGGTAATAGTTACCGCTACACTATTGAGGGTAAAACTCTTCCATGCGTTCAAGAGCATAAAGACTTAGGAGTAATATTAAGTCATGATTTAAAAACAACTACGCATTGCAAAGTAGCCGCTGTCAAAGGTTTTCATGCGTTATGGTCACTTCGCCGAGCGTTCAAATCTTTTGGCGAGGAAACGTTTCGAATTTTATATCCCATATATGTTAGACCACATTAAGAGTACTGTATCCAAGCAGCTAGCCGTGTCTGGTAAAGGATACTAACTCCCTTGAGCGTGTCCAGCGTGTGGGAACAAAATTGGTGAAGGGTCTTTCTAGACTCCCTTACGATGAGCGTTTAAAACGCCTAAATCTTCTCCCCTTGTCTTATCGTAGTACACGAGGTGACCTTATACTGGCATTTCGTATCTTTAATTATGATTTGGGTGTTAATACGTCTTATCTTTTTGCTCCCTCCAGCACTAATAATCTCCGAGGTCATAGCAAGAAGGTTCATAAACCACGATCTAATAAACTTAAAGTGGGGTCCCGTTTTTCTCATCGAGTAGTCAATCATTGGAACGCCTTACCCGAACAAGTGGTATCAGCCCCATCAGTGAAAACTTTCAAGGAGAAGCTGGACCTTCACTGGAAAGCAATGTGTCAGGATTAATACAGGTTCACCAACCTACTGTCCTCATTACTGAAGACTGAAGGATAGTGCGTGGGACGGTATTCCTCCATTAGTGTTACATAAAAATTCAGATTTACTAGCAAAACCAGATCTAGCAAAAGCTGAGGCCACATCAAACTACTTCAGTGAAGTCTACCATACGAGTGTTGTTAAAATTACTTGTCGTAATCACACTCCTGAATCACCAGCTATCGGACCCATACATGTGACTGGGAAAACTGTTCTTCAGTCGACCATTAATCTCAAGCCTGGTAAGATACCGGGCCATGATGGGTCGCAGCTTCGAATGCTGTCTTCTTTCGCGGATATTACCTCAGGACCGCTCGTGATTCTCCTCAGCATGTCTATTCCTCAGAGTCAACCCCCCAAGGATTGAAATGATGCTATAGTCAGTCCCATATTTAAAGATGATCAGGGACAGATAGTGTCTAACTACCTACCTGTCAGTTTGACCAGTATAA